GTGCCATTGACGCTAACTTCTCAAAGCTTCAAAGTATGCTCAATTTTGTACCATCCAAATCTAAAAGCAGGTCCAACAGAATAATGACAGGGTTTTAGTGATTGCTAGAATTTATTCAAGCACAAGCATGGTCACTAAATGGAGAAGGGATACTCTTCAAAGTTCAAACCCCCTTTTGGTTTTTTTATGTAAAACTTTAGGTTGCATTTCATCTTTAACACGACAATACTTGTGTTCAGCCTACGATGGAATCATTTTGTGAATAATTAATCAAATTGGTGTTCATCTAATCATTAGGGTATAAATATGTAACTTGATTGTCAATTTGTCGATGCAAGACAATACAAGTAACTTTTTAGGTTGAACGTTAATTTGTTGATGTATGAATAACTCAACGATCTTTAACTTGATTGAGTTTTTGCTAGAGATATAAAAAAAATTACTACGGCAGTTTGCCCAATGAAAATACACAAGTCACAGTTAGATGGATAAAGATGTGCACTCAAAGAGGGAACGTAAATTTTGTCCTTGCGGACTCCTTACAATTAACATTTAGTACTATAAAATATTAAAACAAAAATTACGACTCATGTGTTAAATGATGATTTATTAATAAAAGAAAATTTTCTTGCATTTGAAGGAGCCACAAAACTTCAATTCTTTTTGTGCTATAAAACCTATGAGCTGTAATTTCACTATCCTACCTGGTTATCTCCTCTAATTACAAAAATATACAGTTAATAAAATTATACGTACCTCTTTAAGCTTAAATTTACTACCTAAACTACACTTACAAACTCAATCCAAAATGTAAATTTATTTTTACACCTAATTATAAAATAAAAAAACTAACTCATCCTCAAGCAAAGAGTAGCATCTACAATCAGCAATGACTTTACTCACTCTCTTCCTTTCCCTATTCATTCATTTTAGAGTAATGTGTTGATTTAGTCTTTGATTATTACCAAGAGAAAATTAGGTCCCTAAACTATTTTTTCAAAAAATCAATTATTCAACTAATTAAATCTGCTAATTATATTCCTAATATTAGATTCGAAACTATTCTATTTAATTTGTTGTCAATTTAAGTCAAGTGACTTGCATGTGACAAACTTTGAGTTTAAGGACTTACTAAAAAAAAAAAAAAAAAAAGAGTGTCCAGAGTTAACTTTGGAAGGTGAATTAGAAATGAGATTCACAAAGAATATACAACGTTAAAGACTTATAAACGAGAAAATGACAAGGTTATCCTCTAAAATATGTCATGTGCAAGTCGCGTGATTTAAGTTGATAGAAAATTGGTTAGAATAATTTTGAATATAATAGTAGAAAAGAAATTAGTAATTTTAATAAACTTGTGTGGAATTATTTTATTAAAAAAATAGTTTAAAAACTTAATTTTTACTCAAATAATGATTCAGAATTTAAATTGACAATTCATCTTTTATTTTATATTAAAAGAACAAGTGACAAGACTTTGGGTTTATCTCATCCTCTGAACATGATGAGCTTTTGAGAGTGGTGCTGATATTCATCCTACAGAAAAAGCACATCAATTTCTACTTTCTGTTAGTCTTCAAGTAACTTATTGAAAATAGAAAGAGAAAAGTGATGAATAAATCTTATCTATTCTATTAAGAGAAAAGGGCTTGTCAAATTTTTTTTTATTTATTTCAATTTTATCTTCACTTTTGAATGCATAATGTTGACATGAGGAGGGTAAAATAGTAATTTTGTACCTTTTGACAAAATGACAATCATATCCTCATTTTTTCTATTTTGCCCTCACTTTTGATACACAATATTTACACAAGGAGGGCAAAATGGTAATTTGAATCAAAATATTTACATAAGATAAAAATATATACTTATTAAGAGAAATTGTCCTACCATCATTTTTTCATACAAGTAAGTGAAATCATGATGTTTTTTTTTTATAGTTTGAATTAACTAAAGCGGTTGCGCTTAAGGAGAACCTAGGAGGAGGTGGGCGGTTATTCACACACACAAACTATGTGCTCTCTACAAGTAAGTATTAAGAAAAGGGAAAACGATCCTCTACAGATTCCTTCCTCCTAATCCATCAAATCAGGAAATTCGTACCGTTGAAATTTGATTCAATGGCTACGAACAGCGGTCAATTTTAAAAGTTATAATAACTTCTGTCGTTTGATCAAATTTCAACAGTACAAATCCCCTGATTTGGTGGATTATGATGAAGGGATCTGAAGAGAATCCCTTTCCTAAGAAAAGAAATGCCTTGGGCCCCCCAACTATAATCCTAGGTTATCTATCGTTATTAGATATCTTCTCATAAATGATGAATAAATCATTGAGACAGGCCTTTTCTAATTATTAAGAGCGTTTCTTTCTTAAATTTGCAAGTGTTTTAGATCAAAAATCTTATTGAAAATTGTACATATTCGCTTACCTACTTGAATATCTCACTAATTGATTAGATGATCAAGAACGTTCTTTCTTAACAATTTATAATTGTTTTAGATTTAAAAAAAAAAAAAATATGTTACTGGTGTTCGTATATAATCACTTACCTACATATCTAAATATATCATCAATCAACTAGAGACCTTCTAATAATCCAAAAGTGCTTATGAAAATATCAGTAAAAGCGTTTTTCAGATAACAAAGAACGTTCTTTTCCATTACTTATATTTGGATTTGGATTTGAAACTTGGTGCCGTATATTGTTCACAATCACTTACCTAACCAAAATATCTCTCTGGTCAAATAAAAAACCTTAAAAGCAACTTATATTCCTGGTATTCATGAACAAAAGAGCACCGAGCCCCAACTTGTTCAAATGAGTTTATCCTGTGTGCTGCTTAAGTGGCCATGTCAATAGTTTAATGTTGATCCGCCGCTCCAGTCACTCTCGGGACATTTGTCAGTCGAAAGCCTAATTTGGCCAACCCTATTATTTCTCCCTACTTTCCACTAACCACTCCTAAACTCCAGCCTAATAAGAATTTGACATCTCATCAGGCATGAAACTCATATATTCTCGATTGTTCTCGGTTGAATAAAACTATATGTGGTCTCTCGCTATTATTTATTGGAGAAATTCTTGAATTCTATTGATGGCATACAACACGTATAATATTTTATAATCATATACAATCGGTGATAGAGTAAATTTTCTTTGAAAAAAACTCATATAGATTAAAGAAGATTATCAAATGTATCAATTGTGTCATCTTTCTAATGATTTCATGAAATCGGTGATAAATAAATTTTCTTCGGCATAAAATTCACTTTCATTGGAGAAGATTCTTGAATGTTGCCTGTTGCTACAACTATGTGCTCTCTCCCATGATTGCATACATGTGATAGGGAAGATTTTCTCCACGGTTCACGCCCCCTTTCGGGTTGTCAAGAACTACCAAATGCGGCGGTCAAATTTGGCAACTCTCTATATTTACGGCTCCTACCACCATAAGAAATAGTAAACCATCACTCCTACCACTCTTGTGAGCTGTGATTGGTGATTTTCAACTTGGTAAAAGTTTCATCTGAGTAATTTTTTCTAAGTAAAATAATTTGCACAAGGAAACCAATTTTTTTTTTTTTAATAATACGTAATACTGAGTAATACGAGAAATAAATGACTGAGATTGAAAATAAAATATTTAAACAGATGTAGAAATGAAATCTAACGACTAAAACATCTGTACACTAAGTGCTACGTAGCATTGAAGCTACACACTGGAGGAAATTTCTAATTTGTACGTTGATTCCATAGCAAAGTTTAGCAACATCATCATGCAACGTCATGAGACCACAGCTACTCGTGATCATACAAAAATGTTTACAAGAATATATCTAATTGATTCTTCCCTCCGATATTCGAATACAATCCTAACATTTCCGCTGTTTCATTGAACACGTAAGTTCTAGCAACTCAGTTCGGGCACGGGTAATTAGTATTGACTTCTGAACCTCCTTATGCAGTACACGAGAACAGAGTACATGAAGCACAAAATATATCCAAAAAGCTCATCCTATCTTTCCTTTTCGTAAGGAAGACTGCCGATTCCCCCTTCCTTAACAGCTTGTGGACAATAGTACGAGAAGGAGACTCAGGGATGCGCAATTACGCACCTTTTAAACGCTGATGGACTTTACTCGCCGATGCTTTCCACTTCATCACCACTGCCGATACTTCTTATTATATAACGGAGATGTCAAGTTCTGTGTCTTGGTCAGGTTTTTCTGCATTGGATACCCCTCCTTTGCTGATACCATCATCCAACGCAGCTGTCGAGCTTGAGGCATGGGGCTCCTCCTTACCACTAACCACTCCTAAACTCCTGCCTAACGAGAACTTGACATCTCATCCGGGATGAAACTCATATTCACATGGGAGATTCTCGAATGTCCTCGGTTGCATAAAACTACATGTGATCTCTCGCTCATGTATTGGAGAAATTCTCGAATTTTACTAATGGCATACAACACGTATGATATCTTTTTCATGATCATATACAATCGGTGATAGAGTAAATTTTCTTTGGCAAAAACTCACACAGATTAAGGAAGATTCTCAAATGTATCGATCATATACAATGTGTCTCTCTCTAGTGGTTTCATAAAATCAGTGGTAAATAAATTTTCTCCGGCTTAACATTCATATTCACTGGAGAAAGTTCTCGGATGTTGTCAGTTGCATACAACTGTGTCCTCTCCTCTCTCTTATGATTGCCAAAAGCGGCAGTCAAATTTGACAACTCTCTATGTTCACACCTCATGCCATCATAAGAAATAATAATACCAGCACTCCTACCACTCTTTTGCGTTGCGATTGGTGCTTTCCAACTTAGTATAAAAGTATGTAGCACTAAGTGATACGGAAAATAAATGATAGAGATTGAGAATAAAATATTTTCGACATATGTGAAAATGAAATCTAACGGCTGCTACTTAGCATTGAAGCCACTCTATTCTCTATTTTTGGGGTGATCTCTAAGTAAGAATTGCAGCAATCATTGGAGGAAAGTTCTAATTTGTATGTTGGTTCACATATCAAAGTTTTGCAACATCATCACACCACGGGTACTTGTGCTTATACAAAAACGTTTACAAGAAGATATCTAATTGATTCTTCCCTCCAATTTCGAATACAATCCTAACATTTCCACTGTTTCATTAAACACATAAGTTTCTAGCAGCTCGGTTCGGGCACGGGTAATAGGTATTGACTATTCTGAACCTCCTTATGCAGTACAGGAGAGCAGGCAAATGAACAAAATATTTCCACAAAGCTCAATCTATCTCGTTCTTTTCGTAAAGAAGACTGCTGATTCCCCTTTCCTTAACAGCTTGTGGACAAAAGTATAAGAAGGAGATTCAGGGATGTGTAATTACTTACACCTCTTAAACGCTGATGGACTTTACTCGCCGATACTTTCCACTTCATCATCACTGCCGCCCCCGAACATAGTAGCCATTTTCATGGCCAGCTTTGCAGCCATATCTCTTCTCTGAAAATCGGGCATCAATCTCAAACTGTCACGCATGTTCCCAATCTCAGACATCAACTGTTCCAAATCCTCAAATTCAACATTCGAACCCTCATCTGGTTCTTGGGCTTGGTCAAGTTCTGTGTCTTGGTCAGGTTTTTCTGCATTGGATACCCCTCCTTTGTTGATACCATCATCCAACGCAGCTGTCGAGGTTGAGGCATGGGGCTCCTGCTTACCACAGCTGGTTCCATTCTCTTCTTTGCATTTTAGGACAAGATTACTTTGAGCAGCCAGTCCTCGCATATCTGAAGGTCCAGCAAAAACATTTGCAGAAACCCATTCTTCCGTGTCATCAAATGGGTCAGCTGAACCCGCAGAGAGGACTTCATACTCAAATTCATAATCAGATTCTTCGTCTGACAAGTCTAGCAGAGAGGATTCAAATTTCAAACATTTAGAATTCTACTTAATATAAAACATATTATATAAACCAGATGTAAGCGGTATGGAATATATAACCTTCTCCTCTTTCAGGTAGTGATGGTTCAGCAATCTTATCGCCTGATTTCAAAATCATTCCAGGCCACATGTGTGCAGAAAGAGCACCAAAAATCCGTTCAATACCTTGTGAATCGCCATCAACTGACAAACCTGTAAAAAAAAAAACTTTAACTTAAAAGATCTTCAAAAACAGACATTGGGTGTACTGTGCAATCGACATGTTCATTCACCATGATATAACGTTTTTTTAATTTACACAGGCGAGTCAATTCTTTTTAATATTGAAACTGACACGTGAACTCAAGATGTACTCTCTTTCTTACTCGGGTATATATGATGTAAAAGTCTTACTCTCCTAAATCGCTTCAGCATACAAAGACTTATGTCACAACGGTATGCCCTTAAAATTTGATTATCGTGGTCATCCTCTACAGCGATTATGAAGTTGTGACAAGACGCTGAAATTGAGTCTGCTACAACTTCTAATCCCAACCCTTAAAATTTTATCAAACACCGAGTGACAATATGCTTCGATCGTCATAATTGTACCATGAATGTTTCACCGTTGAGCAGGGTACTTTTATTCCCCACTTTTGCATAAATCTTGCCATAAATATGTCAGAAAGAAGAGTTGCCTTACATTTGTCAAAATCAGCATTTGAAGCACAAGCTTCGACGAACTCAATGTTATGCTCAGTGCACCATTCCAAACATGTGTGCCTAGCCTCCCCAGGTGGCTCGTCATTCCCCAATAAACTGCTTCCTTCAGCCTCGGAGATTCCATACACAGTGAAAGCTGGACCGTCATCAGCAAACGGGTCTCCAAGCTTCTGCAATTGTCTTCTATATTCGGCATGAACTGGGTGACCCGGAACAAGATCAACCTTATTCCCTACACATACTAGTATATCAAACTTTTGAAGATCAGTTCGAGACACCCATTTCTGAAGTGCAGACAGAGACGCCAACTGCAGCATAGTGTAAGCAAATTGATATAAAACGAATCTATAAATCATGCTAAACAAGTAAACAAAGTGACAAAGAGTGAGGGGCAACGGCAAGAGACAGAAACCTCAGTTGTGTCGAAAACCAAGATCAAGGCAGCCAACTGGTCATACATTGGGAGGGTCTCAATCGAAAATTCGTCATGGAGATGAGCCATCCATACCGAAACATCAGCAGTATAGTACTTTGTAGAGATATTCCATCTAATTTTTCCAACACAAAACTCATCAAAATTCACATTTAAAAATAATTAAAAACGAGTTCCTTGTTCTCAAAATTCCTAAAAATTGTAGTGTTGTTCCCAGAATTCCTAAAAATTGAATTCTTTGATCGCAAAATTAAAAAAATTTACATACCCATTAACCACCAGCTGAGATGACGATGATGAAGAATCAGAAGCGTCGTCAAAATCCAAACCCAGTAATCCTGGAATCAACAGATCACGAATTTAGTAGTGGTCAAAGTAGGGAGAGGGGGAGAGAGAGAGGGATTACGAGAAATAAGAGAGCGTTTGCCAACGCCGGGGGAACCAAGGAAGAAGATGCCGGGCCGCTTCTCCAGAGAGTCTCCTTCTTTTGCTTGAGCTTCCATTTCTCTAATTAATCTAGGAGAGTGATTACGTTAGGATCTTCGCGGATCTAAAACCCTAATTCTTCGACCTCAATTTGATGAAGACAATGACTGACTTTCTCAGCAGACTTTCCTATTGCTAGTGCTGCACGGCAACAGGGCTCGGCCTTTTTTTTTTTTTTTTTTTTTTTTTTGGGGTCAGACTAGAGAAATTTCATAAAATAAAGTCAAATGAACATATTATATCAAGGATCGGCATACAGAGAGAAGACGCTTCTTATGAAAACAAACCACGAGTACAGATTCTTTCTTGTAGCAAATTACAATTAGTACATAAAGGAAATAAACATGAAACCGTCTCAACCCAAAATAAATCATTCACAATGGTTTAAACAGTAAAGACTCAACGGTGACTAACAGAGAAAACCCTAGAAGCCTAGGTGAGAAATCATCCCCCACAGTTGCTCGCCTAGGCTTCTAGGGTTTTCTCTGTTAGTCACCGTTGAGTCTTTACTGTTTAAGCCATTGTGAATGATTTATTTTGGGTTGAGACGGTTTCATGTTTATTTCCTTTATGTACTAATTGTAATTTGCTACAAGAAAGAATCTGTACTCGTGGTTTGTTTTCATAAGAAGCGTCTTCTCTCTGTATGCCGATCCTTGATATAATATGTTAATTTGACTTTATTTTATGAAATTTCTCCACATAACCAGATTTGCACAACAAAATAACAATTATTCACCCTTACTTCATGCCATACACACTTTCATAAGCCCCAAATAAATAACAATGTTGAGCCCCAAACACGTAACAACATCATAAAAACCAAAACAAAATTGATCACCAATAAACCTTCAAACCGAAAGGAGAAGCCAAACCTCATTGCATAACCACCACCTGATGACCAGCAAGAACAAAGTTCAAACGTCGGAGAAGTAGGATATGAATTCAGAACCAAAGAAGGAGGCGGGGCAAAGCTCGGCGCGAAAACCAAGTGCTTGGTTTCGCACACCTTCAACTGAATGAGCGATGATTCGCTCTCAGGGTGGGTTTCTTTTCTTTTCTTCCTTTTTCCTTCAAAATTTAAGTGACATTGTAAAATTCATTTTATACAAACTTAAATAATCTACATTACAGTTCAAACTTAGTTGTACATAATGTACGTTTTGAATATATAAAATTAGTGATTTATCCTTTGTAAAATAAATTATTAATTATTACGAGTTAAATAATATCGATAGGCTAGTATGTAGGTCGAATTAATATTAGACACGAGTTTTGTAAAAAGAAAAATTGTTACTCACGAGTAACTTGATTTTGATTAGTTTCATGATTAACAATAAATTAGACCATACTTTGGTAAGAATTTTGGTGAGCCATATTCAGTTATTTGGTATATGATTATTATAATTAACAAGAATGTTTGCAATAATATCCATCTAATGGGATACAAGTTTGGTTTTTTTTTTTTTAAAACAAAAGATATTATCTACATTAAAAGATAGTGGGTGGGGCCTAGCCTTATAATGAGCTAGTAATAATGTGGTTCAAATTTGCCTTTGGCAAGAATTGAACCTAAGACATCTCATTTACAAGTGAAAATGAATACTATTAGACCATAGTACTAAGTGGCGGGATGCACGTTTGGTTAAGTAGGCTGTTTTAAACTTCAATCGGTACTTTGGAATATGCTTAAGGGGATTTCTGAAGCTTATAAGAAGTGCAACTAGTCGAACAAAACATGTCACCTTAAGAGTCTATGACCCAAGAGAATTGATACTTTGGTGTCAAAGATACTTGTGCGGCATTAAGGGAGGGATAGTGATGATTACAAAATCACTTTAAAAAAAAGCAATCCGCTCAGAAGCACTTTCTCCAACTCAAATCCTGTAGTCATAATCCCAGTCTAAAACCAAACTTCCAAACTCTCTAAACAATCAAATCACTTATCATTGGAATCCGCAGATGAATCAGCAGCAGCTGGTTTTACACCTGCAGCAAAGAACTCGGATATAACTTCTAAAGGCATGCCCTTCGTCTCAGGCACCTTCAAGTAAACAAATATCCAGGAAACGATGCACCCGACAACATAGATGCCGAAGACACCGGTGAATCCAACAGAAGAGAGCAGGACAGGAAATGAGTAAGTGATGATGATGTCTCCAATCCAGAGTGCTAGGGCACAAATGGCAATGCAAAGGCCGCGGACACGCGTAGGGAAGATCTCTGCGCATAGAATGTTCGGGATTACTCCAAACGCCATGACGAAGCAGCAGAGATAGACCACAACACTGGCTGTGGAGATTGTTGCGTTCACAACAGTTCCCAAGTTGACAATGTTGACAAGTACTAGTAGAGCAAGGGACAATATCAGGATTGGTAATGTGGAGAGCAGCAATGGCCTGCATACCAAGAAAGGCAAAAAGGAAAGCTTATTTTCCCCAAATATACACAGATAAAATTGGTTACAAATTTTTAGTCTAAAAATAGAACTGAAGGGGACACTTAACAAACCATAAAGGACACTAAACCGTGTTTTATATACGTTTGGATAGTGTCCCCTATTAATGATTTTGATTAAAAGTTAGTAACCGGCTCTATGAAATCGAAAGTGTTAAAAGAGAGAACTACCTTCTGCCGGCTATATCCATTAGCCACATGGAAGTAGCAATGCAAGGAAGCATTAAGAATGTTGTGATGGCACTTAAGAAGAGAGATGCAGATGTCGGATTCAACCCTATATTAGATAGAAGAACGGAGACCCCGTCTTGCTGATAGAACTGAGGAGTGTAGTAGAGAACACCATTTATGCCGGAAATCTGCGCAGTTGAAAAGAAAAGACATAAGACGGCTGACAAAGAAAACAGTTTTTCAAAATATTTGTGGATTTTTTTAATAAAAATCCAATTGTTTTGTAACCCGTAAGCACTTTTTAACTTTTTTCGTGATAAACCTGCTGAAGAATTTGAAGTCCAATCCCAACAACTAATGCACGCTTTACTCCCGGTTCAAGAAGATCTCCCCATGTCGGCCTTTTAACAACAGCTTCTGATGGATGAGCCACTTCTGGTCGAAGAGAATGCAGACTTGTTAGTTCCTTGGCAGAAACAGCAGGTTGGCTAACCAGAGCAGCAGCATGAATGAGTTCACTTTCTTGCCTTACACCAGAAACTGAAACAACCGAGGCAGGCCGACACCCAAGTGCACTATCCTGGTGCAAATACACTCTTTGCAATCCTCCTTCATTCTTTCCGTCTTCGCCTACTCGGTCAGAATATTTATAAGCTAGCTGCCAGCCTCCACCTATGTCCATACTACTACTGAAAGCTGCCTCACTAGCTTCTACATTTCCTTGCATCAAGATTGTATTGCATCTCACACCTAAAGCACTACCGCCAGACCTAGGCGTTCCCATGCTCGTTGTTTGGCGTGAGATCAATGGACTTCTCAAGCTGTCATCGCAATAAGCCCCAGAGGCTTCAGATTCGTGATCCTCACCATCCGTCTGGCTCTCCATGTCCCAGTGTGCATTTTTATTATGATACTCCCCGACATTCAAATTGCTGCCTAGATTCAGATAAAGCATGCTGCCTTTACTTCCTTTTTCGGAAATCTTCTCGTGGACACTGCTAAAGAGAGTGACCAGAGGATCTACGAGAGGGATGATTTGGTTCAACGCGCTCCCATGGTGAGATATTAAACTCTGTCCAGTTGCAGGCTTGGCGATATATGATAAGCCCTCTTGAGGACCATAGAGCCGTATTTGATTTGCCTGATTTTCAGTAAGCACATTGGCTGGACTAATGATGAACTCTTCCAATGATGTCTCTTTGCCAGTGCTAAGACCCTCAACTAGCAAAGCTAACTCACCTGTGTATCATAGAAGCCAAAAGGTTAGCTCGAAAATGTCAATGGCATGAAATAAATGGGCCCTATAAATCTCGACGCTCCTTTTTTAGCCTCTGCACTCCGCTTGTGAGCGCAAAGAAAATAGTTATAAAAATTAGATTTAGAGTGCAGATACTAAAAGATGAGTGCTAAAATCGCTTCCCTAAAAGAAGGGGAACAAAACAAGGACGGATGTAGGCACCTGAAACATCTTCCCTGCCATTAAGTCTTTGCAGAACTTGTTTGGCCTCGAGGATTCGACCCTTGCTCACAAGCCATCTAGGGGATTCGGGCAGGTAAAACACCGTCAAAGCGAAATAAAGTAGAGATGGAATGGAAACAACTCCTAGCATTAATCTCCAGTTCGGCGAATCCATCAGTGACAGTCCAAACACCATGCAATAGGACAAGAACATCCCACCAGAGCCTATGAACTGTGGAAGGGTATTCAACCGTCCTCTTATATCAGGCGGCGCTATCTCAGATATATAGGCAGGCACAAGTGTAACAGCCAGACCAGTTCCAAATCCGTCTAGTAGCCTCGCGAAAAGTAAGACGTAAACATTGGGGGACAACAACATTACCAGACCACTAATGAAGAAAAGAACCGATGAAATGATTAGCATTGTACGCCGACCTAGCCAGTCTGATGCCGGTCCAGAGAATGTTGTTATGAATGTGGCTCCGATGAGCGATGAGGCTGGGATTAGCCCTTCAAATGTTGGTTCACTTTCCAATTCAAATTCCTTTTTAATATAAAGAACAGATCCTGCAACATTTTGTGGGACAAATAGAGAATTAATAGAATTATTAACACTAGAAATAAGTGATTAAACACATAAAACACATAAGATTTATGGTACATGCCAGCAATGACTGAATTATCCCATCCTTGCAACAGGTTCCCAATAGCTGCAGCAACCGCTACGAAAACAGCTCCCCTCATTTTTTTTCTTGAGTGACCAAGTACTACTTTCGAAACCCAAAAGAAATTCAGATAACAGATGCAAAATTGCTGACTAATTTTTTTTTTCAGATTAACTATTAGAATGAACAAAGATTAGTAGGGTTGTGTTCTCCAAAGGTAGTCATCAAACCTGCGTAAAGATGTCGAAAATTATGAATGAAATGAACAGATTTCAGACATGTTTAAACCAATGTAATGCAATTTTTTCCACCAAAAAAACTGTAATGAAATTTGAATTTTGAATGGAATAAGTCGAAATCTGTACGTTTAAAATTTTTCTGAGATGTTAATTGGTGGGTTGTTGAAACTGCAAAAAGCATTACCTGTTGAAACGTGAAGTTTTAGCCACTTGTGACCGAGGAACTTGATTTTGCAGATCTTTTTGCAATATTTAAACTTGGAATTTGAATTTTGAAGGAAGAAGACAGGGAATATGAGATTGACAATGATTTACATAAGCTAATGGTTCTATAATTATAACATAATTGGTAATTTTTTTTGTTCAACAGTTTGGCAAGAGAAAATTACTTAGGAAATGTAATTGTAACAATTTTACTAATTAATTCTGTAAAAAACAATTTTGTTAATTAATTTACTAAATAGGTAAGTGAGACAGTCAACAGATATGAACAGATGAATATATGCATGAATTTAATATTGGAAATTTACTCTAGCTTCCATTTATATAAACAAATTGGACCATTAGTGAATGGTGCAATTATAGAAGATGTATAAACCCTTTGCACTTGAGGTCCTCTATTTCAATTCTCCTTATCCAATATCGTTTGTATTAAAACGTTATGATTTTTTTTTGGGCAGTGGGGCGGACCGAAGACCTACCAAAGAACAAATTTGAAAAGAAATGGACCTAGTTCATCTCAACCCAACATGTTCAAAGTGGAAGACTCGAACTTGAGACTTTTTTTTTTTAAATTGGGAAAAGAAACCAATAGCTAGTTATAAAACGACATCTTGGTTAAAGCGTTTAGAGTTTATATTAGAAATAAAAACAAATATAGACCTAAATCCATACTTCGTTTCAAGAGATGACTTGCTAGAATCTCACATATCCAAAGATTATATATACAACAGGACAAATCAAATGTAAATATAACAAAGAACAAAACTCCAAACAACATGATCATCAATTCCTTGACTATCAAGTCAACTTTTCATCAATTTCTGCCTGCTTTGCACCCACAGAAAAGAACTCAGAGATAACTTCTAAGGGCATTCCCTTTGTTTCTGGCACCTTTAAGAAAACAAACACCCAAGAAATGGTGCACACAACAGCATATATAGCAAAAACACCGGCAAGGCCAATCGACGTGAGCATGATAGGCAGTGTGTAAGTCACAATGATGTCTCCAATCCAAAATGTCAGGGCACATATGGCAATGCATATGCCACGGACCCGAGTCGGGAAGATCTCCGAGCAAAGGATGTTAGGGATCGGTCCGAACCCCATGACAAAGGTGCAGAAGTAGACCACAACGCTAATGGTAGAAATTGTTGCATTGACAACTGAACCCAAATGGACAAGTTGTCCGAAAATTAGTACTAGGAGGGTGCCAGTTAGTACCGGTAATGTAGTCAGCAACAGCGACCTGCGGCGAAGACAGACGAGTAAGAGATGAAGTTAACAGTTAATGGTTTACTTGTGAAGCAAGGGAACTACTATACCTTCTGCCAGAAGTATCCATTAGTCTCATGGCAATGCCGATAGACGGAAGCATCAATAGGGTTGTGAGAGCACTTATGAGAATAGATGAAGAGGTGGAACTAAGGCCTAAATCCGATAGGAGAATTGCCACCCCTGCTTGCTCAAGAATTTGGGGAGTGTAGTAAAGAACCCCATTTATGCCGGAGAACTGCAAAGATGAGAAAACAATCAGATAATATTCAAAACTCTCAGACGGATTAATTAGGAGTGTCTAGTACATATTACAATATAACTGTTTCTACCACATTTACTCAAAAGCATGAATTAGTACCTGCTGAAGAATTTGAATTGCCACCCCGACGAACAATGCACGTTTAACTCCTGGTTCTAAGAGATCCTTCCAAATGGATCCTTCAACAACAGTGTCCTGGGTCTCAGTCTTTCCTTCTCCGCGATGCTGGCTCAGTTGGTTCCTCTTGGAAATTAGAGAAGGTTGGCTAACCAGAGCAGAAGCTTGGAAATATTCACCTTCTTGAGCCATTTCAGGACCGCCAGCAACTGAAAGCATTGAGCCTCGTCGAGACTCAAGTGCACCCTCCTGGTGCAGATAGACTCTTTGGTACTCTTCTGTCTTTTTTCCATCTTTGCCAACCTTCTCAGAGTATTTGTATGCCAATGCCCAGCCACCGCCAATGTCCATACTACTCAAAGCTTCACCACTAGTCCCCGGCATGAGGCTGCTATTGCGCCTCATGCCAAAGAAGCTACTGGACTTTCTAGGCATCATGTCATTTACCATGCTTGCTGATTTTTGACCTGAGAGCAATGGCCTTCGAACATTGTCATCGAAATCAGCTGCATTTCCATCCCCCTCCAAATCCCAATTCTCCGTCTTGTCTTGGCTTTCAGGGGGCACCACATTTAGCACGCTGCCCATGTTGAGAATGCTGCCCATGTTGAGAATGCTGCCCATGTTAGGCAAATTAAGAAGGCTGCGCATACTTCCTGTGTTTTCGGGAAGCAGCTTCTCATGGACACTGCCAAATAGAGTAACAAGTGGATCCACATAAGGCACATTCGGATTCAACAAGCTTCCTTGTCGTGACACCAAGCCAAGATTGGCTTGTCCTGTGACAGATTTTGCAATCATTGAAGCCCTCCCTCCAAGCATCGAAGCCCTCCCATCCTCCGGTCCATACAGCCTTATTTGATCTTTATCTGAAGCCATTTCCTGGCCCTCACCACCCTCATTGGCCGGGCCAATTATGTACTCTTCCAACGATGCTTCCCCTCCAACTCCAAGTCCCTCAAATAGCAAAGCCATCTCACCTGCATATCAATCAATTCTAAAGAAAATTAAGCATTCAAAAAATCGAAAAGGGAAAACCCCGCTATATTTTTAGACATAAGCACAATATCTTCTCCAAAAACATAAGCATTCATAAATTCAAATGCACCACATTATGCACCTGAAACATCTTCCCGTCCACGTAGTCTCTGCAGAACTTTCTTAGCCTCGGCCATTCTTCCTTTACTAACGAGCCACCGTGGAGACTCAGGCAAGTAAAACACAGTCAATCCAAAATACAGCAAGGAGGGAATAGAAAGAACCCCAAGCATCAATCTCCAACTAGGGGCATCCATCAGTGACATACCAAACACCATGCAGTATGAAAAAAACATCCCTCCAGAACCAGTAAACTGTGGGAGAGTATTCAATAGCCCTCTGATTTCGGGTGGGGCAGTTTCGGAAATGTAGACCGGGACAAGAGTTACGGCTAGTCCAATCCCAAACCCATCTAGTAGCCTTGCCAACAGAAGAACATAGACATTTGGAGCCCATAGCATTACCAAACCACTGAGAAAATATAAAACTGATGAAATTATCAGCATTGGACGTCTTCCGAGCGAGTCTGAAACTGGCCCTGAGAATGTTGTGATGACAGTGGCACCGATCAAAGACATGGCTACTATTAGCCCTTCGATCGTAGGTTGGCTTTCCAACTTAAATTCCCTTTTGATGTAAAGCACAGCCCCTGCAAATTTGATTTGTAATGTCACAGCTTCCATCATAAACTATAAATCACACAACATAATGCGCCTAGTGTGATACATTTTCCGGTAACAAAGAAAACCTACGACTCACATTAAATCCAAATACGTGCAATCGTTTGCAAAAGAAATTATTAATCGTGCCTCAAATGAGATCTCAAAGATTTGTATTTAGATTAGCATATACCCAAGTTCGAATACACTCTTTCAGAGTTTATATTAGATTAAAATGTCGCTCAAATATAAAATATATTATTTAAACTGTACCTGCAATGGTTGCATTGTCCCATCCTTGCAACAAGTTTCCTATTGCAGCAGCAATGGCTACAAAAACAGCTCCCCACATTCTTTCTGCTGCCACAAACAAACAGGACCTTTGAAACCCAGAAGGGATTGCAACTGAGAGAGAGAGAAACTCTTGGACTTTGTAGCATCAACCTTTAAATATAATTTTATTAGAAACGAATGCCAAATTTGAATATATATTTGCTTTCTTGGAAAGAAAGAAAGAAGGAATTTACCTTTCAAGAAGAGAGAGAAACCATGAAATTAAAGTACATATCTTCTGATCTCAAAGCAATGTAATAAGTTGGGGAAAATTTTACAGTGGTGAAATGAAGAGAGAGAGAGAGAGAGAGAGAGAGAGAAGAAGAAGAAGTGATCTAAGTACGTACTTTTGGGTTTTAACAGGTTCCAACTTGTTTGCCTCTTTTGAACCACACAACATGTAGCCCTCTTCTTGCGCTTAGATAGTGGGCAACTGTTAACTACCTAATTTTTTTCTTTCAAATTTCTCCTCTAATACCGGTGATGTAAAGAGTGAAACAATCAATGAGAGCAAAACTCAAAGAACTAAATAAAGAAAGTATTTTGTGGTGGTTCAAAATTGGCTTTAAGATTTACTACTTAGCATGTTTTGTATGGTTGTTCAAGTATGAGTTTAGTCTCCTTGGCAAGGACGGCCCAAGTATTGCACAGATTTTTCAATTTGCCTGGAACACAGGGCGGTACGTTATATGTTATTATAAAAGTGGAGGAATGTTTTTTTTTAAGTGTCCCTCCATTTGTATAATGACATAGGTTAATATTGCGTTATGATGAGAGGTTGATAATTGAATTTGGAGTGTACTGATAAATTTTAGTTTTGTTGTTAATTTTATCTTGTAGTTGGTGGTATTTATGCAATAGGTAAAAAAAACAATTCACATTTAAAGTTTAAGTTAGGTGTAAAGTGATGTTATATTGGTTCGAATAAAATGTTCCAAATATTAAAAATGATCACGTTTGAACAAATCTAAAACAAATCTTAAACCAAATACAGTGCATTAAAACGTAATCCATCCCTGATTTTGGGCACATTGTTTTTTCCATTTCTGTTGTCTGTAAAACCACCGTCTTCACCTATAAAATAACTCACGACTGAGTTGGTATGCACACAATTGCAATCCAATCATATATCATTTTATAATTCCTTCAAGTGTTGATTCTCATTTTGAAAATGATCAAGGAGATCTATGAGGCATCTGAAGGCCGAGATGAGAACGAAGATGTTAATTTTGTAGAGTCAAACATGATGTGTAAACCAAATCGGATCGTTGATTTACCAAAGGCATACATTCCTAACATTTCATCTGTCCAATCCTTCATTTTTTTTTATAAACATTCTTTATTATCCTTGGTTTTATGTTCTTTTATTATAAGTGACATTTTTTAACAAAAAATAAAATTTACACTGAGAGAGTGGAGAGTTGACTAAGCCTCACAATGGACTAACCATAATAATGTGGTTCAAATTTGTCTTTGGCGAGAATTGAACCTGAGACCTCTCACTAACAAGTGAAGAGGAATATCACTAGACCGTAGTACTAAGTAATGATATTTGTTTTTTTTTTTTTGAAGTAAATCAATTATACTTGAAAATAGTTAACTTTTTTTTATATAAAAAAAAACTTAAAATACTGCTTTTTGAATTTCAACGTTGAAGAAATTTACCGTCTCATATCTTTAGTTTCTATTGTAAATGGTCTCTGAGACTAATTCAACTTTTTATTTTGGTCATTTACTTTCCAAATGAATAAATATTGTCCATGAGATTTGATCTAATGTAGTCTATGCCGTTTAATTTTGTCAAATTTTCTATTAATGTGCACATAAACAGGTTTCACCAATCCAATAATAAAGCGACATGTGGATTACCAGAAAAATACTAAAAGGAAAAGGAAAGATACCATCGTTTTCATCCGGGCATGGCACCATTCTCCACCCAGCTGCCACCGTGCACCATTTCAACCCAACCTTCCACGTCTCCTCACTGATCAACCAGCATTTCTCACTCATTGGAATATGTGGTACACCATATGCTTTTATAGAAGTGATAGGAAATTTTATTTTTTAAGTTATTAACATTTTAACACATATATCACACTATACGTAAAGCGACACGTGATGTGTTAAAAATCTCTCCAAGCACAAAGTCAGGCGAGAATAGCCCTGGAGGAGTGGGACTCACTGATTTAGGTGGGCTCGAGCTGTTTTTGTTGGAGTAAGGGGATTGAATCATCCAATTACAAGAGCAAGTGGAAGGGATGAAGTTGCTCTTAGGCGAACATGCTTGGAATTGTGGTCGAAGTGGTATGGATAGTTTGCCATAAAAGGGGTCTAAAGTTGGCTGTACGTATTTATTTATTTATTTTTCAACATGAACTTCAGAAAATGTAAAGAGATAGAAACCTAAGAGCCCAATAAATTGATTTAAGGTGTCTATTCAATTGAGATTTTGAGAGATTTTAATGGATTAATAAACTTATGAATTTTGATGGAGTTTAATTGATTTGTAGAGATTTTATATAACTTCTGAATGAATATCTCAAATTCTCAAGGGGATGTGATTTGAGAATGATTAAATACACTATGAAATATCTCAAATTTCCTTAAATTTTTAAGATTCTTTAAAAATAATTTCTAATTTAATACACCTGAAATGTATAAATTCCTCTATACCACATTTTCCCAAATTGCTTCAATTTGTAGAGTGAACGCCTCAATCGAAATAAGATTGAAAAAAAAAAAGGATTTGTGACACAAATGGCATAATGTATAACAAAATTTGGATTTTGACCTATTTCATAAAATATGGCTGTAACTGAAGCCCAAAACCAATTGGGCATATTATATAAATTTTGGGGTTCAATGGCCCATTTTGAGTGCGCCCAAGTTAAAAAAAAAATAGATTTATGACACAAATGGTTTTGGGCTTGGGCGCACTCAAAATGTACAACAAAATTTGGATTTGCACCTACTTTCATAAAATAAATGAAATAAAAAGTTTGTAACTGAAGCCCAGAACAGATTTGGGCCAATTTTCATAAAAAAAAAGAGCCTGTAAATGAAGACCAGAACCGAATTGGGTATTTTTCATAGCAAACCGACCCAAACCCGTCAGGTTTGGTATCAATTCAGCATACATTCTCGTGCCGAACCGAACCGTACTGAGTTAATTCCTTTTCGGTTTTAGTAGCAGCCTTGTACCAAACCGTATCGAATTGAGGCTAGGCCTACCTTTAGGGCCCGTTTGTTTGACCAGATTAGGGAGGACTGAACTGGACTAGACTATAGTCCCTTATTTGGTCTGCACCAGGATTAAGTTTAATGACACTAAGTCAGACTCGCACCGACTAACAGCTTCACTAGCTGTTCTTAGTGAGACCCCCCAAAAATTGGAGAATTGCTAGTCTTATCTCTAGTGCGTGCGTCGTTTGCAAGCATGCAATGCCGATCTCCATCATCATGTGAACCCAGTCACAAAATCTTGCCTTCTCCTTTGTACATGAGCTACAGACCCTTCTCTAGTCATCAAATCAGAAACTCGCCGATCTCTGTCCCACGAACCCAACCCCCTCTTTGCTTCAGCGATGAATTTGTCCAGTTAAGCTTGCAATAAGTTTAATCCACCATAAACAACAATTCAATTCAAAGATTAAAGCTTATAAATCCCAATTACAGAAAATATCAAAATCTGTGATAAACCCAGAAATCTATTACCTTGGGTTGCAGTGCATTACTCCAAAAATTTGTAGGAAAAAACAAAATCAAATTTGGAGTTGTAAAACATAAATTATAGTAGAAATTTGATATGTGATTTCCAATTTGCAATGCTCTCTCTGCTTTGAGGAACAAGAAAAAAGACCTCCTTTTGAGGAAGAAAATGCACAGATCCTCCTTTGAGGAAGAAAACTGGGAGAAATGGGGGAGAAAAAGAGGGAGAGGAGGGAGATGGTCGACCGGAGAAAAAAAGGGGAAGAAATGAGGGAGAAGGGAGTGAGAGAGTGGGAAGGAAGAAGAAAACAATGGGACGGAGGAAAAAAAGGACAGAAAATGTGGGAGAGGAGAGTGAGAGAGTGGGAAGGAAAATGATAAATTTATAATATAATATAATATAATATTTATGAATTAAACAAATATAATATTAAAATTTATTAATTATTTTGTTTCTTAATCTGACACTGCACCAAACGCTTCACGAAGTCAGTCTAGCTTAGTCTAGTCTAAGCCAGTTCAGCCTAATCCTTGAAGCTAATCCAGTCCGAAATAGTCTGGTAAAACAAACGCACCCTTAAGGTCTAAACAAGTATATGTACATAAGAGAAATTATAGTATAGTGAATGTGCAAAAGATAAAAAAATTAAAAATTAAAAAAAAAAAAAAAAAAAAGGGATAAGACTTTGTGGAATTTATTTCTTGTATATATATCTTCTTTCAGCAGCTAGAAATGTCATTATACTATAATTTCTAGCAAATGGTCCAATCATGGAATTAGCATTTGTGGAATCTGGAGATAACTTCAGGTGAAGCATGATTATACGGTCCAAACACGACTCGAAGTTCTTCTGTTGATCTCAGAGTTCTTTTTCGACGGCCAGACAACTCTATATCCAAGCAATGTTTGAGCTGAGAAGATACAACATCCATTGTCGCTCTGTGTTGGGAGGTGGAGGCTATGCATGCCATTGCCATTTCTATTGATGTATGTATAACGATGAAACATTCATGTTTTGTTAAGGATCATGAGTGGACCTTTGATCAGAACAAGAGGTTTGGAACTGCTCCTACAGATCATTGATGACGATACCCCGGACTTCTTTGAAGAACTACGTTCAAGAGTTCCCTGGAATACTGATGAGCAAGATGAGAAACACTTGGAAGCATTGCTTCAAGACATTTTGATGATCGAATCGGGTCTTATAACGTACTGTACCTGAGTACGAGGCTAGCATCAAAAGAAAAGTTAGAGAAAAACCAATATTTACAAGGAAAGGTAGTAAATGGACCGAGAAAGAACTCCAATAAGTGCAGTTAAATGTGTGGTTTAGGTTGACAGCCTGTTAATATATATTTTAATTTGGGAGATATAGGACGAAAACACATTGCATAACACATTGCCATTTGCCATGCTCAAAAGTACTTCCTCCCATGATCACAGTTCTGCAGTTAATTCCTCTTTTGTCCATCAACAAATTAGCTAGATGACATTTTAGTCCTAATTTTACAATGAGACAGTAACACCGTTATTGGTGTTACAAATTCACTCAATTTGACATGTGCATAATTTTTTTTAATACTAAATGTTAGTTTTATGACATGTCAACGTAATTATTTATCCATATTATAACGCATTTGATTAATAATACTACTTACATGTGTCCGTTGAACTCAAAATTTCTCATGTCATGGATCTTCAAACTGTTACATTCGTAATGAAGCCAACCCAAATGCAAAGTCCAATCAAGTAAGTCACTCTCTAAGCGTACTTCCGCACATCAGTGTTACAGGCCCAATTGA